ACTTTTTCACCTGACGAACACACTGCACACTTCTTAACCCCATTCTTCTATCAGACACTTGTACTTTTACAATAGCCGACATAATAGAGATAGACCTTGAAATTTTGTACCATGAAGCGACATCTGTAGAACTAAAAATTGTTAGAAAATATAAAAGAAAAATATTATGCTATAAAGACGCAGATTACGAACGTTTTAACAGTTTACTTGTAGCAACAGACTAGACTGATCTATTTTTGAAAACCCATTCCCCGGACGACATGTGTGACAACTTTACATCTAGATATTTAGATATAGCTGATGAGTGTATTCCGTCTAAAGTAGTCACAATCAGACCTTATGACGAACCTTGGTTTAACTCTGACATGAGACGTTAAATTAGCAAAAGAGACAGAGACTTCTCCATAAATATAAATCCAATCGCACTCCACATAATTTGAACAACTATAGGAAACAGCGAAATAGCGTTAACAATCTTAAAAAAAGGACAAAAGAATTATTTTACGCGGACATTAACGGTCTTACAGACACTTGTAGTGATACAAATCCCAGAATGTTTTGGAAACTTGTCCGCAGATTAATAAAATCATCTCAAACGTCTGGTAGTATACCGCAATTACGGAGTGCGAGTGGAAACAGAGAAATGGATGACGACATAAAGACTAACATACTTAATGACTACTTTGCTTCTATTTCTACTATCGACGATACTGACACAGAAGTACCTGTTATAGAATCCAGAACAGACTCGACTATCTCAGACATACCCTTTAATATTAATGACATTATTGACATACACAAAACTTTAAAAATTGGTAAAGCTGTAGGAAATGATACAATTAGTCATAATATGTTAAAGAACACTGCTAATTCAGTTGCTTATCCGCTATCTTTAATCTTTCGTTCTTCTTTGGAGACTGGATTTTTTCCCAGACAATGGAAGCTTGCTCTAGTGATGCCATTTTTTTAAAAAAAGGAGATAAACAAGACCTCTCAAATTATAGACCTTTTGCATTGCTAAGTACTATTGGTAAGGTTTCTGAAAGATTAGTTGCTAAACATTTACATAACTACCTTTTAGAGAATTCTCTTATATATCAGTATCAGTCAGGTTTTCAACCAGGTCATTCTACCGTACACCAGCGTATAGAAATATACCACAACTTGTGCGACAATCTTAAAAAAAAAAGCAACCCACCTGTTTAGTCTTTTGTGATATTTCTAAGGCATTCGATCGAGTGTGGCACACGGGGCTGGGGGTGAAAATAGCTAGCTATGGAATATCGGTTAAGTTATTGGAATGGTTAATTGATTATATTACAAATATAGATCTCAACAAATATTTTTTGGAAACAGTAAATCCTCTGTTAAGACAACTAATGCAGGAGTACCTCAGAGTTCAGTCTTCAGTCCGTTGTTGTTCATATTTTATATTAATGATATAACAGATAATTTAGAAAGCTTATCAAAACTTTTTGCAGATGATACTTCTTTATTATGTTCAGATAAATCCCCACAAATATTAGAACAAAAAAATAATAATGATCTAAGAAATATTCAATTGTGGGCTGATAAATGGTTAGTTAGATTTAATCCTGCAAAAACAGAGGCTTTCCTTATTTCGAATATAGAACTAGATCACCTGATTGAAATAGATTTTAATAATATCAGTATAGACTTTGTTGATAACCATAAACATCTGGGAGTATTCATCGATGCTAACTGTAAGTGGAGCTATCATGTTGACAATATTTGTAAAAAAAAGTAGTCAAGCAATTAGGTGTTATCCGTAAATTGAAATATAATCTAAACGACCGTACATTAAATAAGATATATAGATAGTTGATACTTCCTATTTTAGAATATTGCTGTGAAGTTTGGGATGGTTGTACTCTTACTGATACAGATAAGTTAGAAAAGTTACAATTAGAGGCATGACGTATTGTCACCGGTTTACCTTCCTATGCTAGTAGACAATTTATATATACTGAAACGGGATGGGAATCCCTAGCCCACCGGAGGTCCCGTCGGAAACTGCAATTATTTTATAAAATTCATCATAATATTATTCCCAACTATGTTAACACTCTACTCCCTCCCCTTGTCGAAAATGCTCAATATAATCTTAGAAACGCCGAAAACTACAACCTGCCTTACAACAGACTAGAGTTATCTAAAATGTCTTACTTTCCTTCTACTATTAGACTCTGGAATCAGCTAACTTTAAGTATTAGGCATAGCTCCTCTTTTTCATCGTTTAAAAATGCCATTAGAGACAAACACTTGCCCCATGTACCCAATTACTTTTTCTACGGTGATAGAAAAAATAACATCCTACATACAAAACAAAGAAACCGTTCTAGCACTTTGAAAAAACGATCTATTCCGAATTAACCTGGTTGATGACCAACGTTGTATGTGTGGTTACCCTATTGAAGACACCTTCCATTTCTTTTTTAACTGTGATAATTATGTTGAACAGAGAAATAAACTTTATCGTGAACTGAATGCATACATCCCCCTTACATTGAATCTACTTCTTTTTGGAGATATAAAAATTTCGGAACAAGAAAACAAAATTATATTCATGAATACTCAGCAATATATACAAGACTCGAACAGATTTTAACACCCTCCACCCCTCAAAATCGACATCTTTATTAATACATGTATCTTACTAATACTAATAGATTGACAACACGAGTTGCAACATACAAATATACGTATATATATATATAAATACAATGAGGTCGTGTGTTGGGTCTTTCTCTGTGCGGACGGACTAGTTGAAACGGAAATACCAGCAAGAGCGGAGTGAACAGGAGGAAGTTATAATAGCACGGGAAGTGATGAACATTGATCAGAAGAAAGCTGTGAACAGCGAATAGTATAACTAGTCCGTTCGCATGGAGAAGGAAAAAACACGTGGTCTGATATATATTTTCTTAAATTTACAGTCTTGTTGCAGTACTTATCTAGTAATCTTAAAAAATCAGACTCTCTCTCTCTCTCTCTCTCTCTCTCTCTCTCTCTCTCTCTCTCCCCTCTCTCTATCCCCCTATATCTCTCTCTTCCTTTATCTGCATGTGCATGTTTATATTTGTGTGCATGCGTGTGGTTCGGTGCGTGAATGTGTGGGTGTATGTATGTCACTGATTAATTAATTTATAATACATAGCTTATTTACGTAGTTCTGCCATCATGAAATTAAAAAAATTTATTGTACAGGGAAAGGGCTTGATATAAGTTGTAAAACGTGTGCCCAATTCCATTGCTATGAAAAAAAGTCAATACAATATGTTTAAATAAAAAAAGATGACTGAACTGAAACTTACAGAAAAGAAGGAAATATTTGTTCCAGTTTAAATGGAATGAATATTTTAATAAGCAAAGAACATGTTTCGAAAAGATTTGTTGGTATATTTCTTTTCAAGATGGCCACCAAAACATTCATTCTACTGCCTAATCAGTTGTCAGATTCCCAGACAATTTTCTTGCAATATGTGTTCGATGGCAGACTTGGAAAAGGAAGGAAGAAAAAACAAAGATGCTTTTGAGTTTGTTTTCAAACTGGTGATACTAGATTCACAAGAAAACAACTTATTTCAAATTTTGTCGGAACATCTTAGCCCTTTGGTTCAACTATTTTGGATTTTAAAGAATTCTAAAATGGCCGATATAATCATGTATACTTGATGTATGAGCACACATTCCCATATTTTTTTGACTAACTGGGCATTGGCAGTAGTACTCTTTTATTGGATTATTATCATTTGGTGTCGTGCTGTACTGAATCTAGACATTATATTTAGTCTGGCTTATGTGTCTGGAAAAAATCTAGCAACAGATGAGGTCTTGATAGTGCTGATTCACCCATATTTCATAATCTTTACGAATTCTGACTCTGTTCATTTGGAGAGAGCTGGTTGTGTTCACCCTCTGAGCCAAACAGTTTGTTTCTGTGAGATGAATCTTCATTTAATGTGCCTGTTCTCTGTCTTTTTTGTCAGTGTCCGGTGATCTTTGATAAATTGGTCCCCGTATCCAATTGAGACATGCAGTCACAATCTTTAGCACTGCCATAAGTATATCAATGAAGCAATTTGATACTAAATGAGTTCAAACGACTATCTAATGCTTAATACGGCAATGAAAAGACTCTACAATACACGGGGAGTTAGTAACTGTTCTGTCAATGTTAGCCAGTAGATCAGAGTGTTGACTCTGACCAGTCTTAAAATATGCGTGCATACTGGTATTGATATCAGATACCTCTAACATTTGCAGGACATCTCTAAGACTACGACCAACGACTACCTTGTCGTCTTGCTCCAACCATGTGAGCTTGTCTATGGTGTTTTTGTAGTGCTTGCATCATTTTGGCAGTATATCCAAAAGCCATCATAGATTGATTTTTTTTTTACATTTCGTGTACCTTTACATTAATGATATTTCGCGAAGATAGGATGGCGACGTTCACCAATATATTTTCCATTTTTCGATCCCATGCTGTAAGAAGATTAATTAATCATCTAAATATTTAGAAGAATGATTCAAAGTAATAACATCGGATGTATAAGGGATTGAAAAAAAAATAAAACAACAGCATAACTCTTGTAGCACTTCTGAAACAAAATGTATGAGGGGGCAGGCTCCTATGTAATTTTGACATAGCTGGAAATAGTCCCTTTATTAAAAAAAAAGCCTTAATAATACCACAATCGCCAAATATCATGAGACCCATAATATGCCTACTCCTAACACGATTCTCACCGGGTGTTGTGACATAAATTCCGCAAAATTATACAGCTAATTAAAGTATGCATCTTTCACATGTATTCTGAGTTTTACAGAGATTGGGGCATCTAGTTAAAAGTAGACAAATATTAGGATGACTTCTACATTCTTCTAATTACGTGCGAAACCTTTTCCGGATATTTTTTTCCGGTCTCCGTTTAAAAAGTATCATTTTAATGCGTCTTATAAACGCTTTAAATGGTAGCATAACTATGTTATACGAAAATGACATAGATCACTAATAAAAACGTCGTAAAATGTCTTGAGATGTTGACACCACTCAGTAGGCAATCGCCTATTTTGTGATCAATTTAGGCCGAACATATATCAAGCGGTATCATTATGGCTCTTCAGAAAGCAGACGACCTAACTGTTGCTACTACAGGTTCACAGCGACAAGAAAATCAGAAAAATACAGTAAAGGTGCTTGACGAAGAAACCTACACAAAGGTAAAGATAGTGACTTAGTACAGATGTAGATGCACACATACAAATAAGGTTGTTTATATTGTTGGTCAGGTTTAAAGTTTTAGGAGACTACATTAAGTGGTGCTGGTATATATATTTGAAGAATGTTTTACATATGCTGGTTGAACAGTTGAAATCGCAAGTAATATGACGTTGACTTTTTGAGTTTTATTAAGTAATGAGACATTTATTAAGACTTTGAAATTAATTTTGACAGCTATTGGAAACGGCGCGTCTAATTACCCAATACTACCCAATACTACCCAATACCACCCAATACTACCCAATACCACCCAATACTACCCAATACCACCCAATACTACCCCATACGACCCAGTTATGAACCAAATACTTCTTTATTACTGTGAAATATCACCTTTGTAGACGTTATTTACTTCCATCTGCCATATTTTATCGGGAAATATGCGATTTGGTGCCGAAAACATCACCGAATTGCCGTGACTATGACCCAATACTACCCCATACCACCCAATACTACCCCATACGATCCAGTTATGAACCCAATACTTCTTTATTACTGTGAAATATCGCATTTCTTGAAGTTATTTACTTCTATATGTCACATCCTATCTGGACATATGCGATTTGGTGCAGAAAACATCACCGAAATGCCGTGACTAGGGGTTCGACGATTTACAGGAACGGGCAGGATCGGGCAGAAAACTATTAATTATTATATATACATTGATGAATATATATATTTAATTAGATACATTTAAGTATCATTATCGGGTATAAGATATATTTGATAAAAGAATTGCAATTACATGATACTATATTAATTCTATTCATGTCATAAAATGGTGTTATTAAGATCATATATATAAATTTAGCAGGAAATATTTAGAAAATTTTAAATTACTTTTCATAAATGTTAGTTATTCAATTTTGTTAAACATAACAGTATCAATTATATAACAATGCTGGAGAAGAACCTTCAGTTAAATTAGATACTCAAATACTACGAAATTCAAAAAGTATATGGATTGTATATGATTCGAAGTCCTTTCAATTACTTGATTAACTCACAGATAGTCTGTTTTGGACAAGCTAGATATTTTTTCCATATATAGTTCCCTGACCAATCTTATGAAGGGTAGACGAGTAGGTTGTCATTAAGTAATGTAAAAATTAAATAGATTAATAAAAGGAATTACGTTACGCTTCTTATACATCAATCCAGAGACGTATATATTACATTACGTAATATATACGTCTTTGATCATCCGAAAGCAAAATACTAAATGACATGAAAACTTGATTCGACTCCCAGAGATACTGTATACACATATACTTTATTCAACTCGTTGGCCATCTCAAGTAAATGTGATCTCTATAGATACATGGTAGATACCGTGATGTTGCAATTTTATTTAACATCTAAGTCCGTGATCTAAATCACAGTTACAGGTAAATATATATATTATAATTTAATTTTATAATGTCTTCCGAGGAATTACAAATTCCACTTGCAAACCACTTATATAATATGTACAGAAGACGTAGCAGTCTATGTGATTAGTTATAATTTTAAACAGTGTCTTGTAAGCCATTTTAGGCTGAACATCATATACAATTACATTTTCTATTTAATGCATTTGTTAAATATGATACCAGGTGTCAATCAGAAACATTTTTTTATGAAAATAATCTTCCGTTTAAATATAATTAGCTACTAGTTAGTGTGAATTTAGCAGACCTCGCTGGAAGGGGGCTCCCCAACCCTTGGAAATCTAAATTTCACTACAATGTAGAACTAGGAAATTATTCATTTTATTTATCACCATTGTTATTGTTTTTTTAAAGACATCATGTTTTAAGGCAGTAAATATAAAAGAAACCTTTTAACTATTATAGTATGTAATATGTAAGGACAAAATCCAGGAGTTTGTTAGGTAGGGGCTGTCCCAATCACCTGCTCTCTGGATTGGCACATGTGATAGTTTGTTTTAATTTATTAATGTATTATGTATAATAGCTGTTCTTAACAAAATTATGATATTATAAATTATGTAACTATATGTGTTTATACTGTGTAACTATATACTTGTACGATGTAATTGTGATATATGACACTATAATAAACAAAATTGACTTGACTTGACTTAACTATATATATATATATATATATAGAATATGCAATGAAGACGAAAACGGAGATAAATTTTGAATAGAATTGGCAAATAGAGGATTTCCCCCAAAATTACTTGTAGTCAACTAAATTAGAACAAATGTTTAAATAATTTTATTATGCAATGAACGTTATAAACGTATTGACGTACATGAACATTCTACGGATTTTTTTTTATTTATAACAACTATCGATATAATATGTATAAATATAGATTTGTTCCAATATATACTAAAGATACATGGTCGTGAAAAGTAAATCTACTCTTACTAAATACTCGTCAAATTTATTTAAACAAATTTAAGTCTTTAAAAACATCAAGTTATATGAATGCATAACCACGGACTTTATCTAATTCCGTGTACAATATCTAATTTTAAACATAAACTTAGTCCCGTGCAATTGAATAGATTCTTGATATATGAAATCCATTTAAAATCAGCGAAATCATTTTTATGTAAATTCAGCATAAGCTTGTACATTATACTAGACAATTTATTTTCACCTGTAATTAGTTTATACCAAAACATTATCATTCTAGATTTAATTTCAATATCCAGCGAGTACCTACCCGTTTCACCATATACCATTATATTTGCTGTGGAGCTACGTATGTTTAAAATTCTTTAACAAAACTGTACACGTAATTTCTCAATCATATTGGTATTTTCAAACCCCAAAATTACTTTTTGAAACGTATATAGATATTAAAGCATGAAGGATAAATATATTTTCAGTTGTAGAGTAGCCTTTCCTTAAACCAGCTTGAACATTGGAACAAGAAGTCTATTGTCTACTATTACGGAATTAGATAATCAGTTTTGACCACATCGGCCTTTGAAAAAAAATGAAACTTAAAGCGTTTCACCGTGTTTCTTTCTTCTTTACATATACAATTAATATACAGTATCGTTTTTCTATAACAGATAAGGCCTAACAATCCAACATATGGACTTCAATATTTATTTACGTAAAACACGTATTTCAATTAACTTATATTTACATATAGAATAATATTTAATTTTCAGATTGATGTCCCTTTTTTGAGTTGGAAAATTGCGTATTTTCTTTTTTTTAAGATCGTAGACGTGATGGGATTGTAATCTACACATTAACACCAATTAATTCACTCAAAATATATTCATGCTATTTATTAAGAGTTGAGTATAAGTTATGAAGTTATTAAAATTTAGTTATCATAATGTCATTTCCAATGTTTCAGGTGTTATGACATCGCAATAACAATGTCATATATATAAATGAGAAAATAACTCAGATACATATTTATTATATATGTAATATATAATTCTCTGAACAACCCTTTTTTATAGAATAAAACAGAGACATAAATTGGAACCTCGGCCTGGCAATTTATATATATATATATATATATATATTCCGATCCTGCCCCGTTCCTGTAATTGCAATTCTTTTATCAAATATACCTTATACCAGATAAGGATAATTAAATATATACAATAAATATATATAAATAAGTCCGATCCTGCCCCGTTTCTGTCCGTTCCTGTAAATCGTCGACCGTTCTTGCCCGATCCATATCAATACAATACTTTTTTTTAAATTCTTTGCAATCCTTTTATCAAATGACGTATCTTGTACCCGATAAAAAAGATATAATAATATAAATATAAATATAATTTAGTCCGATTCTGCCCCGAATGGCGATCATGTAATTGCAATCATTTTATCAAATATATCTTATACCCGATAATGATACTTTAATGTATCTAATCAGAGACGTATAAAGCCATAACTGTGTTATATACGTCTCTGATCTAATATATATATTCATTAATGTATAGGCCTATATAAAAATTAATAGATTTCTGCCCGTTCCTGTAAATCGTCGAACCCCTAGTCACGGCATTTCGGTGATGTTTTCTGCACCAAATCGCATATTTCCAGATAGAATGTGACATATAGAAGTAAATAACTGTGACATTTCACAGTAATAAAGAAGTATTTGGTTCATAACTTGGTCGTATGGGGTAGTATTGGGTGGTATTGGGTAGTATTGGGTGGTATGGGCACGGACTTAGATCTAATCTAATTCCGTGGTATGGGGTAGTATTGGGTCATAGTCACGGCAATTCGGTGATGTTTTCGGCACCAAATCGCATATTTCCCGATAAAATATGGCATATGGAAGTAAATAACGTCTACAAAGGTGATATTTCACAGTAATAAAGAAGTATTTGGTTCATAACTGGATCGTATGGGGTAGTATTGGGTAGAATTGGGTGGTATTGGGTAGTATTGGGTGGTATTGGGTAGTATTGGGTAATTAGACGCGCCCATTGGAAATGCTTGGAACTAAAATTGAACCAACTTGCTAGCTTCAAATCCATTACCGGAAGTTACTTGATTTTATTTCATTTTATGTATAATTATTGATATGGATATAGAGGTATAACAATGCCTGCATCCGGTTCCAGGTTGTTTCGCCCGAAATCCTGTAAAAGATGTGAATTAATTAGGTTGCCTTACAAGCGTCAGCTGTAGGTAATTTCCCTTTAGCTCAGCGGTAGAGCATCGGGCTGGAGAGCCAAGGGTCGTGGGTTCGAGTCCCAGCGACGGCACTATCTTTATCACTATTTCTCGTCCTATTACAAATAAGTGACGTTGACCCTCCCCGTTCAAGGTAGGAGAACCCTTGGTGGGGAGTCAAAGAACCTGGGTTGGTGTTTGAAAAAACTGGGGAATAGTGTAAAAGATGTGGATTAATTAGGTTGCCTTACAGGTGTCAGCTGTAGGGAATTTCCCTTTAGATCAGCGGGAGAGCATCGGGCTGGAGAGCCAAGGGTCGCGGGTTCGAGCCCCAGCGACGGCGCTATCTTTATCACTATTTCTCATCCTATTACAATCCCGTTCGCCCTGGGTTGATTCGCACTAGGTTGTTTCACCCTAAAACAAAAAAAAAATTAGGGCGAAACATTGTTTGGTATTTTCTTTCAATTTTAATAGTTTTAATTCACAAATTATGTCTTCTTGGTCTTCTATATAATTAAAATCAATTTCATAAAAAAATGTGTTTGTCTTATTTTTGTGAAAAGCTGACTCTGCTCTCACATATGAGTAGATGGATAAAGTATGGAGTGAATGGATAGAAGAAGGAGACAGGTTAGCACATTCTTATTTAGGGTGCTAAAAATAGCCACAAATTCATACGACTTTTGATCTTTTCAACCCCTTCTAATGGTCAGTATCCGCTCATATCAACAATAGATAAAATAAATGCAGTACCTTAACATTCTTGATGTTGAAACATAACAATAAACAAAGTATAACTAGGACATTCATAAATTACATTAAACAAGGATTAATTTGTATTTATATTAGCGTATTAAATGATTTTTTTAGGGCAACTGGATTTAGGGCAAAACAACCCTTACCGCGAACGGGATTTAGGGCGAAACAACCCGTTACCCTGCATCCATTATATATCCTATTGTATCCTATTGTAATGTATATCCTATTTAGTTGGGCACATCTGCGCAGATCATAATGGGTACAATTATATTACTGAAATGGGGAATTAAGTGAAATGAAAAAACATTAAATTCTTTTAAACAATTATAAACAAAGGGCATCATTCTTTCAACATATACAATTATTAGGTACTGGATATAAATAATGTATATATATACATCTGTGCATGTATATATACATCTGTGCATGTATATATACATCTGTGCATGTATACAATTGTTTATTTGCTTGACAGAAATTTTTGATGTTTACTTTCAATTTACATGCACTCATATCAGAGTACATGTATACGTATTTGTGGTTGTACTTCTGTCTCTTTTTTTTTTCATTCATGCTCTTGTTTTATTTTTTTCATATGTAAGAACTAGTTCAAATTCAACATGATGGTACTGCAGGGTTTTTGCCAGCTATTTTGGAAAAGGGCCCCTGAGCAGGAATTGGGAAAATATCATTGGCATTTGGCAAAAATTGGGAAATATCATCAGTGTTCCCATATGCACGGGTTTTGAGAAATAAAACCTACAATGTGATTTTCAAAAAGTTTTCCTCTAGCTGTTTCTTTCAGTAAAATGTATAGCAATAAATAAACACATAAATTTTCAGTGGTTTTGTTTATTCAATTTCAAATTTCTGTTATTTATGTATTTTGAGTGCGCTTTCATGGACGGTAATACTTTGAGCGTTGTACATATAACGACTGGAAACTTGTATAAACATGCTTTTTTATCTAATTAGGTAAATAAAGACTGAAATTGGGAATATACACTTGTCATTTTTCAATTGGGAAGGGTCCCCGTACCGGACCTTATAAACACCTGGTAAAAACCTTGTACTGGATATATTTCATTTACTGCAGAATTTGTTTAGAAATTATAATTTATAACTGAATACCAGGTAACCCTATTTTAAATGAAATTAGTATGCAACTCTATTACCACTTATTCCACATGTACATAAATTTCACTTGTGTCGAGTAATAAATGTCTACTCAAAATGCCTCCAAACACAACCGTCTGGAGTGGATTTTATTCAGAAGCACCTTAAAAAGCGACTAAATGCTTATAATGTAACAGTGTCAACTACAACGAACCAATAAATTATAAGTCTGTTTGAAATCAGTATTGGTATAACTGATATGTATAGATATTGGACCATGCCATGTAGATACATAATTGTTCCAAAGTGAAGTGAATGTGAACTACCAATTACCGTACATTTTTCTCAGTCTTTATATTACTTATTTAAATTTACTGGTGCAAACACTTGTATGTATCTATTTTGCTGGTTGTATTTCAGAATCTTGAAAATATCATTGAAAGAGATTTCTTCCCGGATATGCCTAAGCTCCAGTCCCATACAGAATACTTCACAGCCCTGGAGAAAAATGACCTGGTCAAGCTTCGGGAGATACAGATGAGGAGAAACACCAATCGGCCAAACACCGGCTCTAGCACAGGATGTATGTGCATGTAATGTAGCTTGCTACACAAACTATTGACCTAATTTGGATTGATATGTATTAAATTATTCTAAATGTATATGTGCACTAGCTTAATACCAGTGGTGGTAGACTCATCTTTTATAATCCTCTGGCCATTTCACACTCGCCCACGCTGAACAATTGATATATCTCCTAACATATATTTAAGCTTTCATAAAAAATGTGGTTAAATGTTTTTTCTTTTGACTTTTTTTTTCTTTCAAGTTCAACTTTTTATGTTACAGACACCACACCAGCCACCTTTGAGACTCCAGAACCAGAAAGTAGGCAGAAGTCTCCAAAACAGAGAGAACCTGAGACAGAGTCCAAGACAACAAGTAAGGAACCATTATATATAATATAAAAACTGATACTTATGAAAGCTGTTAGTGTAGTTAGTTGAGAAGTAACTAACTGTTATGAGATTATTATGATTAAGAAAATTATGTATGGACCTACTGGTTTAATATGAAAACAAAATGGACATAGAAGTCCTGAATACCATATTTTCACTATCATTTTCTATTTCTAATAATGATACATTCACTAACAAAGTACAGATACTTTGTTCTATTCTTCCACTTTTACTACACCAGAACATCTTTTGCATTAACCTGTCAGTGATTTTCCAGAATTAGGAGGAGTTAAAGGGGCATCAAATACATTCTCTCTAAGTATTTGAAATTCTGCCTTTATTACATGTACACTAACAGTGCCCCAATCCACTCTACCCCCCTTTTTCAAACCTGAAGAGACCACAGCATATTACAGTAACAAAATTCACAATTACCTGTAAGCATTTCCATCAGGGATTCACGTATTTAAAATTTAAACTGCTTTTATTTTACATAGACTTGTAACAAATAAAAAATATATATAAATGACCCTACCTACTGCAGCTGAAATTTGTATTTATTACTGTAAAATATTAAATTTCTCCTAGGTTCCATTTGCACGCTTGCAATTAAATATGCCTTTAGAGATATTTAATTTGACTTAAACAACTTCAGCAACATTCAAACATTTTCGTAGATGACACAAATACCAATATCTTTCTTAAACATCCCTCATCCTAAATATACACAAAGATATGGAGAAACAGCTTACGTGGAGTCTAGATGCATGCATGTACTGTAGATTACACCTATCAGTGTCCTGAATGAGCCTGGACTCTTGGGTTCGAAGGGATATGTCTTTCTATCATCTATGTTTTGACCATTCAGATTTCTGTGGAAAGATGGTTTGACGTCTGATACTGTTAAAAATCAAGGATCAACTAAAAACCAAGATTTCTCACCTGTAACTTCCCTTGAAAGAATCGGCTAGAACGTTTAATTACGTTTCAATGCTGCCATTTTGTTTTCATGATATCTCATCCGTTTCTGATTTAATTTACAGAAGAAAAAGACTTTGCAAATCTGGATAAGTTCCTGTCTAAAAACACCAGTGAAGACAATGCATCCTTTGCTGAGATTCTGGAGGAGACACAGAAGCAGCAGAGAGAGAAGCATGCCTGGCTGTATGAAAATGAAAGAGACAGAACAACGGTATGTAAATCACAGACATATTTTTTGAAGTTTAACAATGGTAGAGATATATTTCTTTATAAATACAAAACCACTGTAACAGTATGTGAAATAGTATTTTCGTATTCTTTGAAATGAAGCAGCAGTATATCTATACCGGGAAACTTTCGCCTTGTTAAACTTTCGCCCCGTTAAACTTGCGCCCTTCACCGGCAGAGTCCTTTTTCGCCCAGTGTTAAATTCGCCGTACACCGCCGGACACACTGGACCCCAATTGCATCGCATACGGTACCTGAGATAAGCCTCAATGTAGACGAAATAGTGACAAAACATATTCCGTCGTATACATAATTTCTTTTTAAACTTTCGCCGTCGTGTTATATTCGCCCTCAGATCGGAAGGCGAAAGTTAAACTGCAGTGAAAGTTTCCTGGTACATGTATACAGTATATTAGGTAACGCCACACGTGTGATCATCTGACGACTCAGATTGCAAGTGTGCTTTTGATATATTGCACCAACAAGTGTATGTTTGTATATATCACATGAGGGCTTTAGCCTGTGTAAAACATAGCCATCACAAAATAAATAATTGCAATCAGACAACAGATGAACAATTAAGCATGATATTGCTTTTATTACCTACAGTTGTACTTGATACCAATGTACCCACGTGTGTATGTTATATTTTTTGAAAAGTCTGCTAGATAATACCCTGTGTTAATGTTCAACAGCTAATGGTAGACAAAACAGTGAGGAGGATGGAATAATGACATCACATTATCATGGTATGAAATGGTGCTGTCTGAAAACACAGTTTTGTTAAAATAACTTGATTTGAAGACTTGTACATGTGCATTCAGTGTATGTGGTGTTATCACACAAACAAGGCTGCATGAAAAAAAGACAGTACTTCATAACAAAGAATAACTTGAATTAAAAAGCTATTTGAGTATCAATTTTGTGTACAGGAAGAGGATGAACGTTTGGCATTACCCAGTATAGAACAGCAGGCTATAGAGGCGCCACCTCAAGCTGGAGCAGACTCCTGGAAGTATAAGGCTAGGAACTCACTTATGTATGTCCCTGATGGTGAGTATCGATAAAGAAGTAATGTAATTTAAAAAGAAAATGGTTTCCATTGTTTTGATAGAACCTTTTTGTTCCTGGTCAATCTATGAAGTGTGTGACAACTGGTCAATACAGTTGACAACTTTTAAGGATTGATACAATCTGTACCACTCATTAAAACCAGGAAATTTGGTGATTTTAAATATTGATAAACAAAAATATGATATTTTTTCTCAAAATTTAGTGGGCTTCTTGATGCACTTTGAAATCTAAACCAAAAATTACCTGAAAAATATTACAAATCAGAAATTTGTCTTCAAATGAAAAAAAATCAATGAATGTATATGAGTTGTTTTATTGTACATAAAAGGATATTCATGAATCATTGCTGTATATAAGTTTCATTAATTTAACATTTTGTGGTTTTTCTGGTTTTGACAGGTGTAAAATTAAGTAAAACTGAAGAGATGGAGTTAAAAAAAGGCAAATCAAGGGAGATAATTCATGAGAATACAAGATTCCAGATCAGTCCTTGGAACCAGATAAAGAGTACTGAACAGATAAAAATGGCAGCATCATTGAAAGCTCTTGCGTGCTATGGCAAGATAGGTCACGACGGAAAAGAGGTCATGCCCTTAGAATCTCCTAAAGTCAATGGCTACGGTTTTGTGGGCACGCCCTCTCCGGCTCCTGGTGTAGATGAATCGCCATTTATGACTTGGGGTGAGATTGATGGCACCCCGTTCAGAATAGAGGGCAGTGACACACCTTTCACTGGGATAGGAGGTCCAGCATTCAAGGTAAGATTTAATGTTAATCTTACTCCAAGACGATCAATCACTTGGAATAGAGGATTCTCATAATGTTGTAGTAATGGTACCTTGTAAAACTGGAAATATAAAATAGAAATTGATTATCAAATTTCCTCATTTTCTTTCAATGGTATCTTAATAGGGCCATTTAGTTTCTTGGCATTAATACAGGGAGAATCCACTTTCTAAAGGAGTGTTTCAGATTGTGTCTAAGTATTGACAGGAACTGTCCAAATGTAAAGAATGAGTATTACTTCTTAGTAGATTGACTTTCCTGTATAAATAAGTGACAGGTTAATGTTAATAATCTAGATGTTGGTTTTACAACAAGGTTTTACAATTGCCCCATTTTGGTGTGACCCTTTTTTCTTTTATTGTTGTAGTTCTCTTTGACTTTTATTTCACCGATGGTAAAATGTTCATTCAAATATTTCTTATAACAGATTCCAGAGATGCCAAAACGAGACAGACTTGCTTTAGATCTTTCAGAGAAAGCCAGTAAAGCTCACAGGGACAAAAAAGAAAAGGCACTCAAGTCTGTACAAGCTAGACTGTCATCGTAAGTTTGATGTTCTATCTCAGTTTTCACTAGAGTTTTATTGTTTACTTAGCTGGGGTGTTGGGGTGTGGTATGTGTTATATTTGTAACTTGAAAATACCAAATACCTGTTTGCATTGAAGGTTTTCATGTTCCTAAAAATTTTAACTTCAGAGAAACTTTTAACATTGAAAATGCAACTTTGAAGTTGAAATAAAAAGGAAATAAAAGGTTTCTTTGTTTATATAGCGGTTTCTACATTAGCCATCAGAACATTTAATACATAATAATGTATAGGTTAGGTTTGACGTTAACATTATCTGAACAACTAAGGTCATTTAGAGATGTACATTTGTATTGGTGATATAATTATGTATTGTAGTATTAATTCATGAAATGTTTTCCAGTGGTCTCTATTTTAATACGGACGTCAAATTTGACAGGAGTATTATGGTATGGGTTTTTCCGTCCAGCGTAAACTTTTGTTTGTCTGGCCTACATTTTTCGACCGATCTGTTTCAAACTTGGTATACATTATAATCATGATACGAAGTTGTGTCTCCCTTAAAAGAATTTTGATTCGACAATTTATCCAAAAGGTATTGCCCTTTGTTCATTTCAGTATTTGAAATGTAAAAATACTTATTTCACCCAGTGGTTTGACTAAATTTTAAAAAGTTAAATATAGATTTGTTTAGATGCAGCACTATTTTCCTAAAATCCTGCTTTTCATATTAGAAAATTATAAAGGCAATCCTGACTTTGGAAACTATTTCAGGTAATATTTTATTTTTTATTTATAGGCCCTCTCCAAAATTTGGAAGATCTACAACAGAAAGACTTCAATCTATGTCGCCAGCCGCACAGAGACTTGCAACAGCTCAGCTTGGTGTTCGAACACAGTCAGACAAAGCCTTACAAGCTAGTTACACCCCATCTCCCACTCACAGACTCGCAGGAGGCAAGACTCCCACCCTTACTCCTAAACTTACCCCCAAAAGTGCCAGTAGTACTCCTACAGGTGAGAGAACTCCGGGAAGTAAGAGAGAGGGTTCAGATATTGCTTCTCTTACTGACAATCTGCTACAGTTACCTAAAAGGAAAAAAGCCTCAGATTTCTTCTAAGGGATTTTATGTTCCATACCAATTAATTTTATCTTCAATTCGTTAGATTATTCGATGGAAATTTGTGTGAGTTAGAAATGTGTGTGTGATGTACCCTGAGAAAATGTGTGAGTTAGAAATGTGTGTGTGATGTACTCTGAGAAAATGACTTTGCAAAACAGGATTTGTTTAGGTCTGGAAGTTCTTCTTACGAGGAACATTCCTCTGAAATATTTTTTTGTTCTGAGAGAAAATTTGATGGAGTCCGGTAGGATTCATTGATTTCAATATGAAAGGCTATCAATAAACAATTCAGACGTCATTGGAAACATTGGAGGTTTTCCTATATTCACTAGAACGATATGCACCCTTATTATCGAGGGCTAAAAAAGTCATAATTAAACTGGAGCGAAAATTTCCTGGTTACAGTATATCCTTCAGAAAGGGCTTCATCAGCAATACCGGATATCCATAAATTGTACCAGCTTCTTGCTGGATATATATGGTACTATTATGTTGTGGAGGACTGGGATAATACAGGTAGTAAGTGCAGAGATACATATCACGATACTGGATGTCTGATATGATATGTAGCAGGATTTATTAGTTTGCTTGTTTGGGAAGGTTGAAAAAAAAGGAACATTACAATGAACAGATTTTCAATAATATAGACTAGGTATGCATTAATATAGTTGGTCAGCTCCAAAAGTGATATTATTATCAAGCTAACAAGTCATTAGTCGGAATAAAAGCAACTATCATTATCTTTTCTAATATCAAAAGCAAGTAAATCCTGACTTGAGAATGTTTTTCAGGCAAAACGATATTAACATGTTTTCTAGTATTGATATGTAATATAGCACAGGGAAAAAGCGATACATACATGCTGATACATCGGTGTATCATCCCAGCCCTAATATTGTTTTGCATGTTCTGCTGTAGTAACTGGTAAGGAAAGGTCAATAACAGATAAATATATGTTTAACGCTCTTCTTGTTTAATGACAGGTTTGTTAAAGGTATCATACCATGTATAATGAATTCATAGACTTGTGAAAACAGTGGGAGGTCAGATGCTGGGTAATGCAAGAGGCTTGTAATCACGTTATGCATATAAATTGTCAAATACATGTATAGCTTACATACATATTCCATGAATTGCTAACATGCTCAATGTAAAAGGTGATATCAAGTTAAAATATATGTATATTTCTTCTTTTCACACCGTTATGAAAGTATTCCCTATATTAATAAAATCACATGTTGTAATAATTTTACAGAATATATCTGTTTGATATTTGAAAATGAAAATAAAATAACAAAAACAAATAAATGAAAAGGCCTAATGTTGCTACATGTGTCAGAGAATCATAAATGCACAATCAGATTAAAATACAAATCTTAATGGTTCAACTTATGGACTGCAATGCTTATGAAAAAAAACCTGACAAGGGAACTAACTCGAAGCCAGAAAAAAATCCTTTTGGTTGATTCATCTTTGTACAGGAGAGTAAGACAGCTACTTTTTCAACATTGTTTCAAGGTTTATTTTCAGTTTACAATAAATGCTTCTTTAAATTGTGTATAATCGTTTTAATGTAACACATATGATTCCAATTTACAACATACAAATATAAGCTTGTTTTCAGTTTACAATGATTGCACAATTAAAGTTTTTGGGAACGTTTCTCTGTAAACACCAAGGCTTTCATTTACTTTGATAATTTCACTTAACTGTGTGTGAGCATGATATGTTTCTATTACTTAAAACCTATTGATCAACACTTTCATTGTGTTTTAATAAATTTTCTAGCTGGTCTGGAAACCTCATATTTCCAGTGTTTATTTTCATTACAATATTTCTGTTTGCTACGAACTTAGTACATGTACCGAATGTAATTGTTTTTCCAATACCTTATTGTGTGTTAAAGTGTATTTATACTCGGTTCAGATCTGACATAACATTTTTGTATTGTCTGTTGGCGTGGAATTTCATACACGAAATAGTAGTCACATGGACAACTGGTACAAATTAACTTCTGCGATTATTCATCACAGCAAAAGTGACGTATCGTATCGCACATGTTTCAGCTCTCGATTTGTGTCACAGGGAATTGAAATAATAGTTAACTGAATATTAATGAATTTACAATTAAACAAACAGTCGAAGATTTAATCGAGTTTCCCTTTTGAAATTTGTATCTTGTTCAACATGTGCATTTCCCCTATGATTCATGATCAATTATAATCAAATAATAAAGAAATATTAAAAGATCTTCCAATTAAATATATTAATAAACATGATTCTCCCCCTGTTTAAAATATGGTAAATTATAATTATAACAGGAAATGTTCGGTGGTACTTTCCTTCGTGGTTTGAAACTTTATTAGATCGTTTCATGGTACAAACTTTCGTGGATTAACAAACAGTAGGCACCTTTATCATCCAAATTCGTTGTATTTATTTTCGTGGTTCAATAGCAACCATGAAAACAACGAATGGTTATACACAACGAACATTTCAGGTTATACAGTAATTGAATTGAATTATCGATGGTCTATGGAATATTCCATGAAGGATTGGATAACTTGGAATTTCATTGTAATATATTTCAACACAACATTTGAATAGATAATTAGATATGAATGGGGTGGTTTACGATTATTACTAAATAGACACATCTATCGTTCAAAAAATTACACTGCCAGGAAAACACAGCTTGAATTTACATGTACCTTCCTAACCTGTTACACTGCCAGGAAAACATGGCTTGAATACTTTGCTATGAGTGTGAACCTCCATCGAAATTCTTTTAAAAAGTACATCAGATAATATCAGGGATCAGGGAATGGACGTCGCTCACCAGTAATCTTACAGAACCCGTCACTATGTCTTGTGATCTGGAAATAGATGTCGCTCACCAGGAATCCTAAAGAATCCATCAGTATATCTCATGACCAGGGAATAGATGCCGCTCACCAAGAATCCTACAGAACCCTTCAGTATGTCTCATGACCAGGGAATAGATGTCGCTCACCAGCTGTCCTACAGAACCCGTCGGTATGTCTCATGACCAGGGAATAGATGTCGCTCACCAGCTGTCCTACAGAACCTGTCAGTATGTCTCGTGATCAGGAAATAGATGTCGCTCACCAGCTGTCCTATAGAACTCTTCATGTTGCTCACAATCAATCCTACAGAATCCGTTGGTATGTCTCCTGATCAGGAAATGGATGTCGCTTTCCAGCAATCCTACAGAACCCGTCAGTATCTCGTGATCAGGGAATGGAAGTAGTACAAAAGTAAGGCTTTTGGCACAGGGTCATTGAGTGCACTCCCCTATATAATCCTAACCACCTCCCTGGCAACCCCCTAGTGGCACCCCCCTTCGGCAGGGGGGTACCGATCGATGACGTCACAGGGGGGTTCTCATGTATATGGGTTTTTTCTGACTGCATCTATTAATAGCGACAACCTATATATGAGGAGGGGGGTACCAATCAATGTCGTAACAGATTTTCCCCGATTGCATCCCCACCACCCTGCAGCACCACCCTAACCGGTTGGTACCATTATGATGACGTCCTAGTGGCACCCGCCTTCGACGGGGGGTACCGATCGATGACGTCACATGGGGGTTCTCATGTATTTTGGTTTTTCCTGACTGCATCTATTTGTAGAGGTCTGATTGCATCACGTTTAGAAATAGTCAAACCGGTTTCAACCGGTTATGAAAACAACACCGAGAAAGGTATACCGTATTCCACACTGTAACTAATGGGTGTTCGACGCTCCAACTGCTGCTGCTGGGTAAATACAGCATATACCGGCTGCTTCATAATGTCTATGTAGGATGGTTGCTGCTGCTGTTGCTGTTGTTGTTGTTGTTGTTGTTGCTGCTGCTGCTGGGTAAATACAGCATATACCGGCTGCTTCATAATGTCTATGTAGGATGGTTGTTGTCAAGTAGCTCATCCTGCTGCTGCTGCTGGGTAAATGCAGCATATACCGGCTGCTTCATAATGTCTATGTAGGATGATTGCTGCTGCTGTTGTTGTTGTCAAGTAGCTCATCCTTGGCGGCGGCGGCGATGGTTGAAGCAACACAACCACCACCACGTGCACCACCCCCGCCGCCGCAGGGGCTTCAACCATCGCCGTCAGAATGAGCTACTTGACAACAACAGCAGCAGCAGCAACCATCCTACATAGACATGATGAAGTAGCCGGTATATGCTGTATTTACCCAGCAGCAACAACAACAACAGCAACTACAGCAGCAGCAGCGACAGCAACCATCCTACATAGACATTATGAAGCAGCCGGTATATGCTGTATTTACCCAGCAGCAGCAGTTGGAGCGTCGAACACCCATTAGTTACAGTGGGGAACAGAATACGGTATATCTTTCTCGGTGTTGTTTTCATAACCGGTTGGAACGGTTTGACTATTTCTGAACGTGATGCCATCGGACAGCTACAAATAGATGCAGTCAGGAAAAACCAAAATACATGAGACACCCCCCCCCCCCCTGGGATATCATCGATCGGTACCCCCTGCCGAAGGGGGGGGGGGTGCCAGGGAGGTGGTAAGGATTATATAGGGGAGTGCACTCAATGACCCGTGCCAAAGCCTTACTTTTGTATTACTAATGGACATCGCTCACCAGCTGTCCTACAGAACCTGTCAGTATGTCTTCTGAAATAGAAAGACGGACACTATGAACAGGTAAAAAACTGAAAAATAATCGGGAAGTGGAATTATTTTTCATGCTTCATGTGGTAATGAAGTTACAGTGATTAATGCAGTATTTCTTCAACGTAGAATGAAAAGATATAGAATGAGGTAGGAAACCATAGCTACACAATTTCGTGATTAACATGAGGCACGTAGCCAGCAGACAAATGTCCCAATATACTTATATCGGTCTTTAGCGAATCGGCTGAATCTGGGAGTCTATGGAGTTTCAAATGTACACTAGCCGTTAAGAATAAACTGTATACTTCCATACACTGTTCAAAAACTACGTATATTGGTTTTTAGCGATAAGTGCAAACAGATAAGAGTCTATTTTGCTGTTTGCCTCGAATATCCCTGTGAACGTTTACTACATTAACACCTGTTTAAAACCTATCACTATTCGTTACACCTTGGAGATTGTGCACGTGTACTGTGACCCTAAATGCTCTCGTTATTGTTATTGGCTAGATTGAGGTGTTATTACCACGGAATTATAATAAGTCCGTGGTTTTTCAAAGCAGAATATTACATTTTGATTCTAATATGTTGGACATATCCTTGTAACTGACCCCTATGATAGCGATGTTGTTATCAGAAACACAAGGTGGGCTCATTTACTATTACTTTAGAAGGGCATATCTATGTCGATCACCGTACGGAGCCGATGGTTCCTCTGAAGGTATGTTAGTTAGGAGTGATAACACGGTATGTCTTGCACATAATGAGGTTTGTGATTTGTCAAAAAAGTACAACGTTAATTCACAGTACATGTATATACTTATTTGCATAATTAATGTGTTGGTAACAATTCAAATCTCGTGCATACTTGTATATTTCTCTATTTGCTACTTACATATATGATTAAAGCAAATGATTAAAGATTTGCTAAAGATTGGTCTTTTAACAGCAGTTTCCTTTTATATTATTTCATTTTTTCTTGTTATAAATGAAAATTTATCCGCATTTATTTAACAATAATTAGGAAAAAACCATTTTCACTAACATTATTCAATGCTGTATTTTTTCTGTTAATGTGTCTTCAGAAAGGGGCAGATCTCGGTAACTTTTATTGTCTATCCTGCTGTAATGACTTCCTTGTCCTATATAGGATATGTAAAGTGTACCCGTTCTTAGTTATTCCTTTCACACAAACTTCCGTTAGTAAGGATCCAGTCTTTTATGTGATTTATTGTTTACATGAACTTGTATATGAAATTTACGACCTATCTATTTGTAGCTTGATATGATGGTAAAACCGCTGCCGGTCCTTGTCCTATTCTTATCTGTGGCCACTTGTCAGTTTCATTCAAATGGAAAGTCCGATTATGTTTCCGATACCATCAGTGCATTCAAGCATACAGTCACCGAACTCTCCCGTCAAATCGAGGATCTGAAACAGTTTCAGAAAAACGAAATAGAAATTGTCGCGAACCTGCAAGAAGCACTACGTTCTGTTAAAATTGAAAACAAACATTTGAAAGCAAGAGTTGCATTCTTAGAATCACGATTGGCTGCTGACTTCGACGAAAGTAATGAAGACCAGCAAAACAAAGACTATTCGGGTAATTCCCATGAGAATCGCCTGCCTGAAGAGATCGAGCCCAACGTCACCAATGCTGCTAGTGACATCGTGATAGGCCCTCCTGGAGCACCTCCACATAGAAGTAAAATGGCTCGTGTTGCAGGTACGTGTATCATTCCTGTCCTGTGATAATATAATAAAATTAACAGCTACCTATTCATGTTTCTACTGGGATGGTAAGTGATAAGGATACGTGTCTCCAACAACCACTGTAGGTTTCCTCACTCCTATCTCATTGGATAAACCTGCTAGAAGATGGTAAACATTTTTGGTTACCCACTAGTGGGTAACAGCCTGGGCGTCATTTCATTGGTCAATTTGATTTATGACGTCACGTAACAATGCTTTTCGACGTCATTTTCCATTGTGACGTCATGCTCCATGGTAATTGTTTCTCCCATCGGAAACACACATAATGTATTTTCCAAGGGAAAAAAATGTTTTTTCAGATAAAATCCGAACGTTAATGGAGAAACATGTCCCCAAACTCGTGATGATAAGTTATTTCGTTTATCTAACTCGAGTTAGTTAATCTTCGTATACATACACGAGTTTTACCGAATGTCTTTTACAATTTGAAAATTAACTAACGAGAGTTAGATAAACGTAATAACTTATCATCATGACATTCCGCACGCTTGTTCTACAGTAGCTGTTATCATCACGAAGTAGATAAACATACATATAACAATAATACAGGCAATAACAGGTTGAGAGGCAGATGCTAGTGCTTACAGTTTCATTTGTCTCGATTGTGGATTAGTATAAGTAAGCAGTACAAGATAATACGTACTGCTATAGGATTTCGACTCAAGCTAGAACAGTTTAGTCAGGAAAATTAACAAAGGCAAGGGTATGACATAAACAGTTACTCCGTGAAGAAATGGTATATATATATATATATATATTTATGTTTTCATCTTTATAAATCTTGAACTGCATGTGTACATGTATGCATGTGTATCTTTATATATTCCATGATAGTGTTAATGTTAAGCTACATGCTGACTGCTGAGTGGATGATAACATTGGAGGATATATCTTCATGAGATATGTCTCTTCTAGGCTTTTATCACTTAACATCTTTAATAATGATTTTTTTCCTCGGAACGTATATTTCAATTGCAGTTTTTTAACTCGTCATTATGTCGATGTTTGTTGCATGTAGTTCCGTCTATAAAAAGGTCATATTTAAGCAATGTTTAATAATGTTGATTAAATTGTTCGTTTAACGTATCTTAATGTAATGTTGCTTAATAACAACAATAGCATTTACTGAAGATAAAATATGAACTAAACTGGCCCTAGTCACTAGGATATTAACGATATCAAATTATTTTGATTTTTTGGTAACTCTAATAATAATGATCACTTCGATGTCTGAAATGTTCTAAACTATGGGAGATAAGCTAGAAGTAAAATGCAATTGAGAAATTCTTCATAAAAACTTAGGGGCTGGTAGCCAGTCTAACACTGAACAATTGTTTTGTGAATCGTTTGATATGTTTTAATATTTTATAATTATTTTCCAGCTATATTTAATAATTCTATTGACTCCCGTGTATTTTCTATCTCTTTGCTAAAGGCACCAACAGGAATGCTGTGGCATTTTATGCATATCTGTCTCACAATGTTCCCAATCCCGGTGCCGACTTTACTGTGAAGAATGATCATCCAGTAACCAATATCGGTGGAGGCTACAATCCGGTGTCAGGTATATTTACCTGTCCAAAAGCAGGAGTGTATGTCTTCAGCTGGTCAGTCGGAATCGGTACAAACGGAGAAATCTACTCGGAGCTGGCGAAAAATGGAGCAGCAGCTGGTTATCTATGGACCGGGGAACACACCTGGGCCGAAACATCAGAGAAAACGTTGATATTGGAACTTACACAGGGTGATATTATCACCATCAAAGTAGAAAGAACTGGAAATACTAGTCCTACAATGTGGGGTTTGAGAACCTCGTTCTCCGGGTACTTAATTCCATACTAACAAACTGATACAAAGGTTTTAATCAATAGTTTAAACTATGATAACCATTAGTGTCGTGTTATGAAATTTAAAAAAAAATGTTCATAAATTTATCTTAAGAGTGCAGTGCAATTTTTTCTTTGATGTGTTTGTAATGTTGTTTTTTTAATAAAGGATACACATACAACTACAACAGAAAAGTGTAACTATGTGCATTGGAAACTTTTTTTCCTGGCATGAAAAAAGCATACACCTTCCGGTACGGTTATGTAAAAACAAGAAAATATTGAATAAACAAAACAGGATCACCAACAGTGTTCTGAGGGTAAATCCAGGCTAGAATTCCCACCTTAGACCTTCCGATAGGGTGACCGTGGCTGTGATTAATTGAGCTTCCTGGTCAACGCTGGGTCGGTAGCCTACATGTAGTTGCGGTTCAGTTCTCCAAAACTACAAAACCTATCTAGTGTTTTGCCTGTAGTGGGACAAGTATCCTTAACATCAAGGAGTCCATATCTTTTTTTTTTCAGTCCGTTCATCTTTGTGTTATCAAGTCGTTGACGGTTTTTTCATGCAAGTTCGTAGGTTGCGGTCTCATGTTAGGTGCGAAAGCGCCCGGTGAAAAAACAGCGATATTGTCCATAAGCCTTTACTTTTCTAGACTTCAACATAAGACTGCTGATCTGTGTAGGACAGCACAAGGAAGATAACTTCCTAAACGTCCGACATGACAACAAAAATAAACAAACAATGTTATATGTAAAACATTGCAAAAATGATTTCCACTTAAATGAAAAGAAAGACAATGATTCAGGAATACGCGCAATCATTATTTGAACTTTATTGTCAACTCGTTGTTGATTGATTTACTCGTCTCAGGAACAAAGAAAAAAAATCCTTTCACTAGAGCTGGTGAAAGCTTCGACAAATTTAACGAACTTTCCCGAAAAGTTGGTTGCAAATCAATCTGGATCAATTCCCACGAAATTACCGACGTGTTCATTGTTATCAACTTGTAATTATAGGTCGTGATAGGTTAAGGAAAAATTCGACTTACAAAGGGGACGTTCAGGGTCGGGGTTGGACGTTTATCTTTTTAGAACAAATCTGGAGAGAAAGAAGGACATAAGAGCCGCTGTTTAGAAGGCATCGTTGACAACACAAGAACAGACATGGCTGGTAACCTGGCGGCTCGTAGGGGTATGTCAACATATAAGTACATAGTACGTGAAGGATAAAAAGTAACCAACATTTAATTACACAAGTCTATAGTGTATATACATTACCGTAATCTACCTAAATGATTTATATTGGAATATTTTGATTTATGTGATCTGCGTAAGCTATTTGTAACTCAACATTTGTTTTCCCATCACCCGAAATGATTTGTTTTTAAAAAAAATATTCATTGACTGTATTTTAGCTCCATAATTGCTCCATAATGTGTTGGTTTAATAAGCATGCTGTTTTTATGTTGAATTACGTTTTTCGGACAGACGTACATACAGTATGTCTTGATGTGTGGAAGGTATCGTTAATCCAGCAATGAACGAGGGTGAGGAATGGATCGGAGCATCTGACAAACCTGTGGTATTTTATTTGGCACCTGGAGATATACTATTTACTAAAGATGGGAGAAATAGATAAGTTATCATCTTCGGTATGATAAACACATCATTTTCTATGTCGTTGATACCGCACTAGGTGCTTAATGTGAAACTATTACATTGTTAGATAACATTGTCTGATAATAATAACACTTAATTTTTATTAAATTAGTTTTGTTAAATTTCGCTCATTTATTTATACGTCTATCTCTCACTCCAAGTTTGTTGCTATGCCTCGATTGCAGATGTATAACGGCGCAAAATCTGGTAATGAAAGATACGTAGCCGAATCCCGTATAGAGATCATTGAAAGAAAAACGCAGTAAGTTACAACCGACTCCTACGGATACACGTGACCAATGAAACAAACATAAAACATTATAAACTAAATCGACAATAATGTAGCCAGAAATCTGTATTTACGGGTATTATTTATGGTTATGACTATACTTAACAATCGTCATCTCAGCACAATTTATATATAAATAATAACGATAAATAGGAGACTGTCAACATTGAAGTGGACCTCATGCATTGACTTATAAAACTGTTCAGGCGCTGTGGTCGTAAATTAAGACACGAAATAATTATGTTATAACTAAAGTGGCATGGAAGAAATCTGAACTCATAATTAACACAATTTAATGTAAAACAGTTGAGATTAATAGAAACTCTTAAAGTGGGGGTTTCAACGACAAAAGGATAAACGATTTATTTTACAGAAAAAAAAACACATTTTAATGCAGTTGGTAACGACCTATGTATGAACATCATTTAGTAAAAATAAAGACAGCAACGCTGTAATCAGAAGTAAAGGATAGGTCAAACTGTGAAAAGTGTTTTTCTTCAGGGGTCAAAACTTTCTAGGTCAACATATGGAAAACCGTTTCTTCAAAGGTATGGTACAAAGATACAACATGATGATAAGGTATTCTATTAAAGAGCACCTTCTGGCCGTGTTCTCACCTGAAACTAATGTTACATGTGTAATATCACGTGATACACGTGTGACGTGTGATACATAAAGTATGTGACTTGTTATATATACTGGCTCTGTTACGTTATTGTATTGAAATTGCTGTAAAATAGATATCAATAGGTGTTATTATAAATTAAGATTAATTAAAATGTCTCCATGAAACGACGTCACTAGTGTACATCCAGCAAACGTTAAAGTCAAGTTCACAGCATTAATATCACGTGAAAGAGTCCTTAGAGTTGACCACAGCCTGAACACGACCGGAAGCGATGTGTCTGTTCATATACCTCATCGGTATCCTCCACACTCTTACTTAAACGCCATCCTCAATTGATCTAACGTTTATGTTACTGCTCTCGATTTCTCATTCTTCTGTCAAACTGAACCAAAAGGTGCTCAATGATTAAGATCTGGGGAAAGCGATGGACAACCAAACTCATTGATGTTCTTTTGAGGAAGAAAGTCAGTGTTGGAGCGTGCGACATGAGTACGTTCATATTTTTTTTTTTTTTTTTATTGTTTTTAATTGTCCTCAGATATAGGCTCTTATCCCCCTTTATAGTTCTCCAGATTTCATATATAACATTATTAATAATTTTACTGAAACGAGCCGCTGTTTGTCAACATCAACGGAATAACAACAGAGCTGCGCTATGTAACGGGTCAATCGAGGTACACGATACGGTCGGCGAGAACTTAGGCCTACAATGTAACTCGGTCAACCGACGGATTACAGTTTGTGGACTAAAGCGAAGGTATTTTGGATGTTGGAAGCAGCACTTAGTGTTCGATTACGCAGATGACTTAACCAGATACATACATTCCTGTATACGTGACGTAATACTTCGCCTTCCCAAAGCCGCTTGGATATAATTATTTCGGCCACACCAAACCGCCGGGAGACATCGGTGTACCTAATTCCATCCTAAATTATGTCAATGGACGTTTCATGGTTTACGTCATGAAACCGTGGCATGACTGATTTGGCTTGGACACCAAAACAACGATGTTTTTCTTGTACTGACAAATAAAAACCGTAACCCGATAGAGAGAAAAATGAGCCCTTTTCACAAACAAAATGCTAAGCCTTTTGCGCGTAAATCGAGCCCAATGCTTCACTTCACTGAATATTGTCGACGTTTACGTGACTAACCTCAAGCCAATACAAGTCATTCTATATAATTGATAACTAGAACTAACTTTATTAACATGTAAATTGATAAACCATTTTACTACCTCTATTTTGATGTAAAGAACAACTCATCTATATATCAGTGGGTTTTTTAATAGTAGAAAAAATATTCTTAAAATTCTGCAATGTGAAAATGTGTCATCGATAGATAAACGTTAATAACCGTTCGTATATTTTCAAGTCATAACCACGACACTCTTTAGGAAGAGGGTGGAGGAAAGCATCTTAAATCACATTGAAATTAATTCAGAATATGAAACGACTGCGAAAGCAACTTCTGTGATGCAAAATAGCAAAACTTGGGATAAACGAACCGTGCCCTGGTTCGATCAATGGAAAAACCTTCCACCGAAACAAGTTTTGATATATTTTTGAACCGATTTCATTGGTGGCTCGAGATTACTTTGCACCTTCATTTTTATTACACAGAGTAACATATGAACCAAAATCTGTAATACAAATGTTTTCACATGTCGTGACTAGTTTTGTCAATGTGAATGGATTTCACACGACTTCTTGACAGAAATAACTGTTTTCTAGAAACTCACATATTAGTCATACATATAAAGGGGGAACGTCAACCTGACAAATCCTATATTAGAAGATTATACTCAGATCATAGAAATGTCATATATTCACGCAATTTCCTAATTAATTTAAAATGATAGTAAGTCAGCAAAGAGATTTGTTCACTGGTAGTGTACAACTTTGAAAGTTCAAGCTTTCATCGATCCAAGACCGGATACGCTTATTTGTGCCGCTGTTATACGCAATTAACTCTCATCTGTCAAAATTGAAGACAGGATAGTTGCTTCTTAATACATGACTGTTTTACTTAAGAAACAATAGAATTACTCGTACCGTACGTCCACAAACATCCAATAATTACTGAATATGTATGGTAACGAAAGCATAGTTAACGGCACTGCTCATGTTTTATATCATTACCTGTCCGTCCTATTTGACAAATGTTGGACCCTTACATAGCCGAAAATGTCCCTCTTATTTTTTAAGACGTAGAAGCGACTTAAATTGAAGTTGTGTCTATTGCAACACTTAAGATTACATTGAATTGACACGTTAAAGAGGCCTAAACATACCCCCACAATCAGTGCGCTGTAAATAACCACACAAACGCGCGCATGCCTTATTTGACAAACAAAGGTAATTTATTAAAATCATAAATTTTATTCACAGTTCAGCGCTGAGAGACAAGTACAATTCATTGTAATAGCATGCGAAATAAAATGCTTACTTGTATATTTGTATAAGATCATTGAATAAACATTTCCCTCATTTGAAGTTGCGTTATTGAATAACTTTATATTTTAAAACGGATTTAAATTGATTTCGGATAAAGCGTATTTTCAAGATTCATTGACTTAAATTCGACATGTTGAGTATTCTTGCAAACCGCTTATTTAAGAGCGATTTGAGTCAAACGTTTTGATTCAATGTAAATGTGCTTTTGAAATTTCTGACACGAACGTGCCCGTCTCATACAAATAAACATATTTTCTTTTCAAAGACACATCCATTAATATATTTAAATATGACACTGTATTTTGCCATTTTTTTTTAAAGCCATTGCGTAAACCACTAATCGTTAACTTGATATATTAACCGAATAATGACGCATGCTTTTTAATCAAGCCCGAAGAGGAAGTTTAAAAAGTAATATAAATCAAGTACATGTAAATACTGGCTCGACACGTAGGCACTATTAGGTGTCCTGGTATTATTACTGCCTGATGTTCCTCATTTGTGCAGTCGTACATTTATCTGTGGTGTGTTTATCTTCATCTGAAATGGTTTAAATATGGAATCATTTCTCTAAAGCAAGTAAGAACAGTGCTTATTTACTAGTTACAAAAAGAAGGGGGCATGACCACTAACAAGTTGGATGTGAACATCGACGATTTCCTTGTTAGTAAGTAAACTCATTATGATATATATTTGAATAGGGTTAGTGTATAACACTTACTGAAGGCTTATATCATGTTGGTTTAAACTTTCGTAAAGAACTTATAGTTGAATCATATTTTATTGATTAAAAAGGCTCGAACAACACGGTTTTACAACTTATAACAGGCCTCCCCGTAATGCCACAATCAAAGTACTGAAAGTACTGAAAACTAAGGCAATTGACAAAGATAAATATATTATTTTTGGAATGGGGAACAAATTAAAGACAAAGTGCCCATCATATTGTACAGAAGGATTAACTGGTAATTTTGTTATGAATCCTAGTTTTATGTAAAAGTTATTCTTCTTGTGTGTACAGTATTTCTTTATAGGTTTGTCAGAAGAGGGGTACCGCGTTTTCTCTAGAATATATCATTTTAGACCTTTAGATATTTCAGTTGCGTAGGAATTGCTTCCGTTTGTATTTCAAACGTTAGATTCCAATAACTGATTATTT